TGATTCTTTATTGTCTGATCATTCAGTTGAATAGAATTTGCAATTTTGGCTCTTCTTCATTTGCCTTAGACATGTGAAGTGCTAACCTAATCAATGAATGCAACTTATGTTATTAGATAGTTTGGTTTTGACTACTACAAATCGAGAAAGGAAAAGACAAGACTGCCCTGCATAATCAGATGTTTGAATTCAGCGTCCTGAAAAATCCTCGAGCTTCTGTGCTGCACAGCATCACGAACTCATAAAACACTAAAAAATCCAGTATAGCACGCAACAGCTGTACTGCATAATTACTTGGCCCAATAGCAGTAGTTTTAAAATACTGGTATATCTGTTGCAGGCCACCATACATTATCATCTCATTTTCAATAAAAAGTCTGGGATGTTTCAGATGAGCTTCAATGGAATTAGAATCATATGTGCTTTGAAATATTTATGCTTGCCTTGAGATGGAAGGATAATTCCTGCCTCCAACCCCCCCCACACACAAATAACAGATTTAATAACGCCAGATAGTCCGACTCCTCCATACCTACAGCAGGTAGAAGTGAAGTTCTAATCTGGAAAATGCATATTTTCATAGGTTGTAGAACTTCTTATATTTTATGTCATTTAGTGAGGTCAGTAATAAAATATAAATGTCACAGGCTGAAAGACGCCAAGAGAAATATGGTTTGGCAGCACGGAGCTGCTTAGGGATACATAAATAATAAGTCAATAAGTAAATAAATAATAGACAAAGACCTGTTTTATCTTCCATTTGAAGATCTCAAAGAATTTACAATCACTGATTGAGACTTTCAATATTCCATCAGACGCACATAAGTAGCAATAGCCCCTTCTCATGCACAGGAAAATTTGCGTCACTCTAGGCGTGGTTTTTGGAAGCAATGACTTTATAATTTTTATTAAGCATTTCCGAAAATCATGGCTGATGGGGCTTGTCCATGGTCACTTGCCCCTTTTAGAGACAAACAGGGAAAACAGCAACCTGCTCCACTCCCTCACGTCCTTTAACCGATTAAAAATGTTTGTGAGGATCCTTCTATTTGGAAACACAGTTGTGTTCTGCACTCAGAACTGGTTTGAAATGTCATTGTTGCATCCACTACAGTTGGTGACCACAACACAGCTTTTGGAGTGATGGTGTGTATCTGGGCCAGCAGATTTTAGACTTCAGCATTTAATTCCCTCTCGATTGTAAGGCAGGCACACTTGTAATGTTCATCAGTTTAACGTAGTAGATTTTTTTCTCTTATCAAACGGCTCTTCCTTTTGCCACTTGAGAAATTTGGTATTTCCCAGTCAGTGACTGCAAAAACAAACCTTTGGGACGTTGTTATTCCATTCATTACTTCTTATGCTAATCTATCTACCCTGAGAAAATGAACCCTACGTGTCGGTTTATGGCACAGACTGTGGATTGCTGCCTCTTCGGTCTTGTTTCCTTCCCTGTGATCAGCAGAGAGCCCTTTGAGGCTGTGCTGAGGAGTTGGCCAAGACTCTGAAGAGGAACCACTTTCTCCTTCTTGTGGCACTTTACCTTCCTCAATTGTTGTTGATCATTTCTGCCCTCATTTTTCTTCTCTCTCTCTTCGGAAGATCACCAAAAAATGCTTTCTGCTTTGTTTTCTATCCTGACATGCTGAGGAGGTCAAGGCAACTGAGAAAGACCACTACTTACATGCCTATGAGTATTTCTAGTGACCATAATATGTCTTTCATACAGCAAACCAAATTATTAAATGAAGAGGCATACCGTGGAAAAGCTAAATACAGTGTGGTCTTAGGCCTAGCTTTGAATTTCCACATGTTCCCTGGGTACAATTGTTTATTCTTTCTTCTTTGATTGAAATAGCATTTCTATCTTCTTTTCACCCAGAGGAATAAAAGGAACGAATTTGTCCCCAGATGTGTACAAAGGACAGTGCAGTTGCATAACGATTTCAAAGTATTACCAGAACTGGTGCAAAAATAATTTTTTTTAATAAACATTTTAAAAATCCCAATCTATTTTTTTACTTAATTAGATGTTTGCCACATCATTTTTCATTTCTCACTTTTATCTTCATCCTTCATCTTCCATTTGGCATACAAGGAAAGGGGGAACTCTAAAAGGAGATGGAAAGGAAGGAGGAAGACTGTGTTTTATATCAAAAAAGAACAGAAATGTTGTATGCTAATGAAAATGTTGTCATCACCAACTTTAATTGAACCAATATTGGTGGCAAAATATTTTGACAAGCTCTAAAATGACTGTTGCTTCCAGGAGAAGGTGATGAGACCTTCCTACCTGTAAAGTAGCTATGACGTAGGTGTCATTAAAGCAGTTACACCTGAGGGCTGGTGTAAGTGAGATCAGAAGCTGATGCTTTGGGTAGAATTCACCTAACTGGAGGTGCGTGTGTAGACTGGAGGCATCTACCTCTGAGCTGGTACCCGTGGGCTCCCTGCACATCCACTGGTGAGCCAGTCAGTGTGGTCAGTGAAGTCTGGTCAAGGGCAGTGGTCTGGTTTTGGATGAGGCGAACGGCTCCTTAGGCACCATTAGTTGTGTTTAGTTCTCCATTGATTGTAAGATAATGAGCACCATAGTAGACACCCACAGTTGGTGAGGTGAATTCCACGTTATCTCTAACTTTAATAGCTTACTTCAAAGTTACAGCCTCTCCCAGGAGTTTGGGGACAGGAAAACAGCCTTCCTTTGAAGATTTGGGTTCTTTATCTGAAGGTTTTTCAATTATACTATAATTTAAGATGCAAACTCAACACAAAACTATTTGTCTTAAAAGTGAACAAGAAATAATTAACTACGTTTGTGAAAAAAAACCCAAGAGATAAGCCCAGATGTGCAGACAGGTTGAACGGGCTGGGCACACAGGTGTTTGCCTTGGCCGTGGAATAACTGTTAACATTTCCATAACAAGGAGTGTGGGATATGCTGCTTCTTGTTTCCTTTTCCCAAGTGCAGCGTTGCGGAGCTAGCACACCTGTGGGAAGATGCTGTTTTCCAGGTCAGCCCACATGCCACAACATCTAGCTGTTGTAAGATGGGTACAGCCCATGCTTTCAGAAGAGTTTCTCTGGCTATGCGTCTACTTTGAGCAGCAGTTGTTGACGGCTGCATGCTATCTTTTGTTTCCTCATCTCCACGCTTCCTTTCAGTGGTATTTTCCCCTTTGGTACCACACATTTATCATATATTTCTCTTTCTGCTGTGATTATTTTAAGCGGTTTTCCCCTTTGGTAACACACATTTATCATATGTTTCTCTTTCTGCTGTGATTATTTTAAGCGGTGTTAAAGGGAGCAGACTGGGAAGGCTTGTGAGGTTCACAGGGGAGCTTTTCATGGCAAGGGTGAGAGCTTCGTATCCATCCCACATCAGCACCCAGGCATGAGCGCAGCTCTTCTTGGTGGTGGTGTCACAGCAATCGTTCCTATCCAGTGGTGGAGAGAGAAGGACACAGAAGTGCTGCCCAGCCAACACTTCATGAAAGTTTGTAGGATAATGCAGTAGGTCTCCTTGCTGCTGTCTCTGAGTACCTGTTTTATCCACATGTTCAGGCTCTGAGTTTGCTAATGGTTTAACAATGCTTAAGAAAAAAAACATTGCTCAAGTGTGATATTGTTAGACTGGTGATGAACGTGACTTAGAAGCAGATTTTAGCTTTGATTTAACTGAGGGTTTTTCATAACATTCCTCCTTAAAGGAGCGTTTGCTCATTTGTGTTTGATTTTATTTAACTTTCCTGCATCTCTCCAATTTTTTGAAAAGTGCCAAAGGCTTTTTTTTTCCCCCTCTTGTACATTTAACTTACTTCAAAGCCAACCCATGAGGTCCTGTGGGGTACTACCTCCCTTGCATGGCCCTTCTCTAACCGGTGTTGTGTGGGGTTCAAGTGCAGCCTATGCACATGGACACCTTGGAAAGATTCCTAGGAGAGCGCGCCAAGGGAGCAACAGGGATGTCATGATGACTGTTTGGTGAGAAGTACACTATGATTTACAGGTGAGCTTCTGCTCAGCCAGATGAATTGGCCATTCTAAAGGAAAAGTGAGAACTTTAGAGGGAAAAGGGAGAACTCAGAGCACTATGAATGGCGGCTGTTGCTACCTTGTGGTGACAACTAACAGTGGAAAGCACTGTTAGCTAACAAGGGTCCAACCCAACACATCTTCAAGGCCAAGGAACTGGGCAAAGGTGTCACACCATGTAGGAAAGCGTAAGGCTCTTCAGCTGCACTTGTAGTTCTGCTGAAATCGGCTGAGGGTAAAATCTGCCATTGCGAATGGGCTTGTGTACATTACACCTTTACACCCACACTGTAGTACATTTTCCAGCTGGCTTGTTGGCCCATAAATTCACCCAATTAAACTTCATCCGTGAATGCAAGCTGGGGGCTTGCTGAAGATTTGAGTCTAACATTATTCAGGAGAAATGTAAATGTAATTTTCAAAACGATCTTGCCGCTTTGTGCATGTTCATTAGATGAAAACACATTACTTAAAATAAATGTTCCTAAACTGAGGTGGAAAAAAAAAACCCCAACAACAGGAAGTGTTAGACCATCTTTAAATTATCAACCATTTATAGTACAATATAAAATGGATTCATATGGGCAAATCCAAGTCATGTGAAATGTCAATTAAATCAACCCTAATCTCCCAAATAAATTTTTTTTATTGCCTGATTGATTAGGACTGCTCTTAAGGTGATGGATAGCTTTCACTTTCACAAAAGACTGCTGATTCTTTCGTACGTGTCCACTAAAACCAGAGAAAATCCTTTAAAATGTCTGGCTCCATTTGCTTTCATGATCTCGATGAAGTGAGTGTAGACACAACGTGGTCTAATATATCAATTGTGAAGATCAGATGTATACACAATACTGTACATTTAAAAAAAAAAAGACGACAAGTAAAACTACGGTAGATTTAAACTGTTTTATTTTCTGAAGGCAAAACTCTCTGTAACTTCTTTGTTTTCTTTCCTATAGCAAGTCCACATGCAACACCATCGACTCTTCATTTTCCAACATCACCCATTATTCAACAGCCTGGGCCATACTTCTCACACCCAGCAATCCGCTATCATCCTCAGGAGACTCTGAAAGAGTTTGTCCAACTTGTCTGCCCCGACGCTGGTCAGCAGGCTGGACAGGTGGGGTTCCTAAATGTAAGGAAGCCGTTTTTATTTCTTCAGAAGTGTTTGTCCTATGTAAAATTAACCATGGGATGATGGGATTATTTTAACAGCATGTTGCATACAGGAACACACCTTGAATAGTCATTGGAACTAAAAAAAAAAATAAAAATGCTGCTACTGCAAAAATATTTTCAAAAACAACAAAAAAACCTCCCCAAAAAACCATTCGACCACATTGTGGTGACATTAACTTAAACTGTCAGAGAAGCTGGTGATTCAGTGACCTTTTGGGTCCCTCCACACATGACTTTGCTGCATGCGTTGTAACCCTAGTGGAACCAGGGTTAACAAAATATGAAGGCAGAATAATTTTTATTAATTATTTTTGAAGTTCAGGGGAGGGGGGTGGGGAGGAGCAGGAAAAGGGAGGGTGAGAAACAGATGTTTCAGATCAGCTAAGTTCATTAAAAAAAAAAAAAAATTCTGCCTTATAGCACTTTAGATCAAGTTGACCAGTACTTGAACTCAAGATGTTAAAAGTACAGTTTATTATGGTTTGTTATTTCTGTAAGCAGTTATCTTTTCCCCTTATCTCTATGAAAAATTAAGCAGAGTTCCAAAGCTTCAAATAACCATTTTCTTTTTTTTTTTTTAATCAAATAAAGTGAATCATCTTGCTATTATTGAAATAGCATTCCGGTCAAATACAGAATTTATAAATTTTATGTAAATCAAATCTAAAATAATGCTCTGAATATTTTATGAAATGTAATGCATGTAACTTTTTCCAGCCAATGAAGTAATAACTGGCAGAATTACTGTTTCTCTCCTGACATACGTACGATTGAAAGCGTTAATGAGAATTAGTTTAATTATTAGCATCTAATTTATTACACTTATTTAATAAGCTATATTATTCTCGGTGCTTTCCTTTCCTGAGCAGAAAAACTGACTCTACTTATCCCAGCCAGTACTGGCTTTGAATAATGTCTGCAATATGTTAGCAGATACATTTATGTCTAGACAACAAATCAATATAGTGCTTTTCTTTTTCCTTGAGTATTCATTTGCTTAATTTATCCCAAACCATTCAGCATTATGAACTGTTAGCACACTCACAATGAACATACAGCAGGGGTCTTCTTGGCAGGAAAAGGACCTAATTGTGAGACAAGATAGTGTTTGAGAGATGTCACTAATATATTAGTTTATTAAAGGTACTGGAGGTTGGAAAAATAAATATCCCTGAAGGATTGCTTCTTGCTGCAAACACCAGTAACTGCAGTCTTTGAAGTCAGTGGGAATGCTCTACAGTTAAAGGCAGATGAATTTGAGTCTTATTTATGCCCTGAACCATTTTTTGCTCCAGCACAAGTGTGATTTGCACCTACGTGACTTTAAGGTCTTTTGTCAGTGCCAAAGCAGGTAAAAGGAAAATAAGGTCACAAGCGTTTGCCAGTATGAGTATTCTGTCCCCAGTAATTCAGGCTAATGGAAACCCTAACAGGAATTAAAATATTATTTTCTTTAGCAGTACTTAGACTATGGATCCGTGTTTAAAGCTGAGCTTTTATCATCAATGGAAAAGCCAATGCTCAGTGCCAGAAGAACTGCAGTGAGATCAATTTGCAGAGTGCTGTCGAAAGTGATCTCATCACTTTTGTCACTAAAATGGAACACCTGATTCACAGGCTGTCCTACTTTCTCTTTATAATGGTATTTGGCATCTCTCTGTATGGTTTTCAAGTGTCCAGGCTGTATTACATTTAAAATATAAACTTAAAAACTTGGGGGGAGGTCTGGGGTTTTTTGGGGGGTTTTTTTGGTTTTTTTAAGCCTGCTTCTTGTTTTTGTGATACTTGAAAACACTTTTGCTTATGGACAGGTTTTTCTGGTGATTAATGGAAAGACCACACTTGCATAGCTGGGCCCATTCTTCCTGAGAGTAAAATGAAGCAGTTCGAGGTTCAGTCGTTTCTCCGTATGATCCTAATGGCAAATAACCTACGAGTTTCACCATTGCTAACTCAAAGGGGATGTGGGAAAGCAGTTACTTTAATATATACTCATTCATTTTCCTGTAATAAGATATCAGCGTGACTTTTAAGACCACCAGAAATGCTTGGTTTTCCTCTTAATGAGCAGTATCTAAGAAATTTACACACAAGTCATAGGCACCGATATTTCTAGAGGTACAACAGAGGCATGAAACCGGAGGATTTAAGGGGTCACAAATAGTGCTGAGTTAGTGGCTGCAGGGAACGCAGAGAGCAGTAGAATTTAATCCAGGGCAGTTCAGACCAGCTACTAATAGGACAAATATTTAAAAGCGCGAATTTCCATAGTTTCCCAAGGTGCACAGGCTTTGAGACAAAGTTCCTTGAAGTCAATGGAGAATTTGACACAGGACTTTCTTTGCCACCTCTCAAGTAATTGGAAATATATTGCCCATAGCTTTCAACTAGATTGTTATTACTGGAGGTTCCTAATAGCTGATTTTTAGTATAATTTTTGTCTGTTTGCTTGTTTTTTGGCAGCCCAATGGTAGCAGCCAAGGCAAGGTGCACAATCCATTCCTTCCTACCCCAATGTTGCCACCACCACCTCCGCCACCAATGGCTAGGCCTGTGCCTCTGCCAGTGCCAGACACAAAACCTCCAACTACATCAACAGAAGGAGGGGCCACCTCTCCCACTTCTCCAAGTAAGTATAGACGCAGCGGGAACCAAGGGCTAACAGCAGCGCACAAGGCACTGCGGTCACCGTGTATCGACTATGCAGAGATGAGGACAGGACGAGCTCTCAGGAAGAAGGAGAGCTCTCCTGCGCTCTGTATATGATGGGCAAAATTCTGAGCTGCTTTTATATTAACGAGAAAAGAGTTAGCTTAAGGTTTCAGTTTTATTTCTGACTTCGTTGGCATTTCACATAACCACGCAGGAGAGAAGTCAAGGGCAGTGGTTAAGCTGTGACACAACCTGGGACCTTTGGGATCTTGTTTGGTGTCATGAGGAGGCAAGTTGGTATCTCAAGCCAGGCTTTAGAGGATACGTGAAAATCAGACAGCCTCATCGAAAACATTTCTGCTTATACATACTGGGCTGAACTAACAACTCTTTCGAGTTCACTTCATTTATAGTTCTTTGGGGAATAAGTCTTCCTAGATTAACCCAGACGTCTTTCCCTTATGACTTGGTTCCCGAGCCCTGCATTTTGGGCAAGAAGCTATGGTATTTCTTGGGCCCAGGGAGAAAGCTTGAATGCTCTCTCCACCACCCACACGGCTCCCATATGTATTTTGTGTAGCCACAAGTCAAATATACAAATTCCTGGATGCACACTTGGGGATACCACTTTGGACTCACTCTGCTGGGAAACAAACGCGATTCAGCTGGGTTTGATGCTTTAAAAAAATCTGGATGTTCAGGGAGTTAATTGTGAAATGATTTAATGAAGCTATGCTCAAACTGACATTTAAAAACAAAAGGGAAGCTTTCAGTGCTTTAATGGCAACTGTAGGGGACTTGTTCCACGGCGAAGGGAGTCCAAATAACATCCACAAACAAAAATCAATCTAATCGAAAGAGCAAATCCCTTTGTGTGCTTTTCAAGCTTATTATTTAAATGCTGTATGCAACCACTGCTTGATGTGCAAAGAGCTATTCGCTCTTCAGAGCATGTGAAGCCTACCTTTTTAAAGCTTGATGCACTGTTCAGGAGATGTGCACAGGTTCCAGGGGGCATTTTTGAAATCTGGTAGTTCTCGGAGTTTTGCATTGCCTTCTGCTACGCGATAGTGCACAACTGCAAGCTCAGCACGATGCTCTGGCTCGCTTAGAAATTAAAATGGGTTTTAGTATGAGACAGCCTGGTAAGACTGTGAACATGATCTTCTAGAATCAGGACTTCTAGATTTGATCAGCAGATTTTTGTTGAGCTCAGAAGTTGATTCATTCCCTCCCCTCCACTCCTCTTTCTGACCTTAGACCAACACTTGTGCTATCAGGAAGCTCTGGTGCTCTCTGACGGGAGATACCATCTTTTCAGTCCTATCAATAAGATTCAGCCGTGGCATCTAAAAGGTTAATGTTTAGTCATAGTTATCACCGAATATAATCAGCAATGCCTTACTATTTCCTTGTCTTCAGAACCGGGAAAAATGAAACTAGGTCAATGTGTATTTGTCATGACGGTTGTGACTCAGTTTACTGGCAGTGTGTGGTGTCTAAAAGAAAAAAAATTCCCAACATCATTTCAGCAGTAATCTGAATACTTAATTTTTTGTGATACGATGATCATGTAAACAAGCTTAAATGCATGTCTGGCCTGGTTCTCAGCTGGTATAAAAACTGGCGTTTGCGCGCTGAAGTTTGCAGAATACCCCCCATGGATATCGGCTCGGGCTGGTCACCGTGCCTGGGTGCTCGGCCGACAGCTGCCACGTTAATTGGGAATCGAGGTTTTCTCAAGAGCAGCCAGTTAATGGTATTTAAACAAAAGATTAGGAAAATAATTACTGTTTGTTAATTAGCTATGCTGATGGCTAAACATATAGTTCTGTACATATTCAGGCATGCATCTTCCTTTTTGGTAAGGGCTCGGGCTGGTCACCGTGCCTGGGTGCTCGGCCGACAGCTGCCACGTTAATTGGGAATCGAGGTTTTCTCAAGAGCAGCCAGTTAATGGTATTTAAACAAAAGATTAGGAAAATAATTACTGTTTGTTAATTAGCTATGCTGATGGCTAAACATATAGTTCTGTACATATTCAGGCATGCATCTTCCTTTTTGGTAAGGGCTGTGAATAATAGTGACTTGAGTTGTAAAGAAGCATATAATTTGATTTAGGGAGAAATTTTACAGAAAAGTAGATTATAGGAAATATTTTCTAAGAAAAAAAAATATTACATATATACCAAAGCCAGTGGAAGTGGCTGCCCACATAAAGAGTAAAACAAACAAGTTCCTAGCCTCACAGCGAGAGTTTACCAGAAGGACCCGCTGAACTCCATTTAGCGTGTCAATCAGTACCAACCCTCCATTTCCATCGGTGTTTATTTTTTTCTTAACTAAATATTGGCCTTCAAATAGCAAGCGCAGATTCACTAGAGTTTCATAAAAGCCGCACACACACAAAAAAAAGGTGTTTTTCCATGGTTACGAACTGCTCGAGTGCACTGGTTCTGGGAGTGTCGCTGGGTTATGGCTGACTGCCCCGCCGAGCTTTAGGATATTGGAAAGTCACTTATGCAACAAAGGCAGGAATGATGTTAGATTTTTGGCCAGACTCTCTCCTTAGCTCTGTGGAGGAGAATGAAGCCCCCCCCCCCAACAAGGAAATGGAGTGAAAAGGGTTGGCATTTGCTCCATTCTCCTTCCCTTTTTTGGTCTAGCAGAAAGCCCTCTGCAGAAACAAAATGCAGTTACTGCCCTACCAAAAATTGGAATATGGCCCTCCTGAGGGGTGCGGGAGCCAGGAGCAGCTGTTCAATACAGCATGGCCTCCTGGGAATGAGAGCTAAAAATCACAACAAGGTGGTTAATGATTCTCAGAGCAATAGTGAAACTCTCCAGCTGTGACATTAACCAAAACACGAACGTTAGTGCTGTCCAAGGGAGGAAGAGCCTCTGGAGATGCACACCAGGGATTTGCAGCTACTGGGTGGCCAGGCATGCTTGGAGAGTTGAAAATTTCAGCTGTGAATCCTGTCCCTTTGGAAAGCCAACGTTTTCCTCAGGGACATGACACAACAGAGATGGGATTCGTGAAGTCTGGGAGGGTTCCTCCACAAAAAGCCTTTTCATTAGACCACATCCTTGATAGCAGAAGCAGTCCCCAAATTATCTTATCTCAAATCTCTTCTCGATTTTGTGTGGTTGGTAACCCGTAACAAACATAACACAATATTTTCTTAAATTTGACAGTTTCTGGGTTTAATATCTCATTGCCCAAAGAAAACACCACCTCCACTACATGCCTGTTGAACTTTATCGCTATCAGCACTGAACTGAGTGTTGGAATCCGTGGCCCTCATTCCCATGCAGAGTCTAAGATACTGCCATCCTGTACACCACGACTTTTAAAGAGCATTTTTATACTATCTGGTATTTTCTAAGGTTCACAGCTCTACATGGGGAGACACTTAGCTGTTTTCCCTTGTTGGGCAAGATCATTACCAGCTAATGTCCCTTTTTGCAAAGGAGTTTTTGTGTTAGCATTTGTGTCAGGATGAGAAGAATGATCTTGTGGCTATAGCACTGGATTCATAATCAGATTGGATTTCTCTCCTTTCCTCTCCTGTGCATTGACTGAGCACCCTCTGGGCAAGCCATTTGAGCTTTCTGTTCACTCCTTTCCCCGTCCATAAAAAAGAGGGTGATGACTGTGTCATTTAATTTGTTAGAATTTGCAGTTCCCTCTCAGATACTCCACTGCAGAATGCATTGCGGTAGGAATTGCTGGGTTGCACCGCGTTCCTCTGGTTAATTCTCTCGCTACAACTCCACAATGGCTAAACTGACTCCTAGTCCTTTGGGAAACAGCACAGCTTTTCGTATCATGTACCTGTCATTTTGGTCTGTAAAAGAGAGCCCTAGTGGTACCTTAGGTTATTGCTCACCCCAATCATTTTTCCCAACCAGAACTGTCTGATAAACGACACACTCCTCTTTCAGGAAAGTATATTTTAAATTAACATTCTCCTACTGCAGGCAACTTTAAAATACATGACATTCCCAAAACTGTTTGTTTGTCTTGTCTTTCTTATAATTTCTTGCCATTCTGGCTAAATATCAAAGCTGTCTGTGTGAGCAAACGTTCTTTCTCTGCCAGCTCCTCTTCCACTTGTTCCTGAAGTGAAGCATCATAGCAAATCTGTGGCATCACATTCGTTTCCTTGGCTATGGGCTATGATGTTGCAAACAATCCTTAGTGAATTCCAGCAGTAGAAAGATTAGACTGGGCAGGAAGATGTTCCTGTTCAAGCCCAATGGGCCAGCTATCAGCTAGCACCAACTAGTGTAGATCTATGTGATTCCTGTGGAGGAAAGATGACGAAGATCAGGAGAAGATCTGCCTAAGAGACCTGGCTTCTGTTCCTTTCCATGCTTTGGCTTTTCTCTTCCCTAAAAAGGAGTTTGAATACCCCACTATAGGCTTAGTCTACATATATTATTATATAATATGACCCAGCTTTAACCAGTGAGAGCAGTTTGCCCCATCCTCATCTCAGAAGTGGCAGGACTTCCAGGAATCCCCCCTCCATGTCAAACAAGGGTATTTCTATGAAGACAGTAAAATATGTCTAGAAGCTCTGTTGGTGATGGTCTAAGCAACACTTGGTGCTGCTCCCTTTTCTGAACCAGATTTCACCATAACAGGAGTCACTGCTAATGTGTATTCTGTGTCAACTCAATATTCGGAGCCAAAATGGCCCCTTGCGCTCCGCAAACCTCTCGTGACATTTTCCAGTGACGCGGGACTAGCATCTTGGGAGAGTCCAGCGTAAAGCCTGCTCTGCGTATCTGTAGTTTTGGTCCTCTTCACTTCTTGGCTCTAGCAATGTAGTTATATGCCCTTAAGGAAATACCAAGCTGACATCTGAGTATTTTCAGAAAGCAAATTAAACATAGTTTGAAGCTTTATGGAAGAAAGATATACATAGTAATTCATCCAGCAAGGTTTGAGGAGACTTTTGTGCATATTATACAGTTTTCAAATGTTTTACAATTTTTGTTTGACCAGAGAAGCTGTTTCAGACAGAGTTCTGATGGTTTCCCTTTGATTTTCTACCAAATATCGCAGCAAAGGTATCTGCCAACAGGGAACTGTGAACAAGATCTTGAGTTCCTTCCCTTCCAAGTGCAACTTACCTGCTCCCAGGGATTACACAGCCCCTCCACTCATTCTGCTTCCTTAAAAGTAGACCAGAAGAACCAAACGACACGTTTGACTTTTGAGCTTTAAGTTCTTTTTCCCCGCTGCAGAAGGATTTTTTTATTCTTGCACAACATAGGGTTCAGTAGTTAATTAAAAAAAAAACCCAAACCCTCACCATAAAACCATACAGAAGAATCTTAATACATGGCACTAGCAGCAGAGATAGACCCTTTGCAAATTTGTGGCTTCTTTGAATTATTAAGCAAATTAACACAGTAAAAAGGCAAGGAGAACATCTCACCAAATCTACTCAGTTCATTTCTTCTTTCATTCGCGGATACGAGTAACAACCGGTGTACCTGTTCCTGCTCTAATGTGCAGGCTGCGCTGCTGTTGGCAAAAGGAAATCTAATTCACCTCGGAAAGATGAATTAGTGCGCTTAAAAATGGCTTTAAAACTTCTGTGGAGGAAAGGTGTTCCTTGCGTGATTTTTGCAAATACTAGCAAAGTGTTAGCTTTTTGGAGAGAAAAGCTCACCTCACTGGAAACAGCTGGGAAGAATTCCTTCTCAGAAATCAGGAGTGTCCTGTCTCTACCCTCAGAGCAGTGAAAAATGAAGATGTGCAGTTCCTGGGGTGATTTCAGGGGAATGATCTTTGAGAAAGTGAAGCTGTCTCATATAATTGTAAGAATTAGGAGGCGTCATGAGATGTTAGTGAGACTGGGGTAGAGAGCGAAGAGAAGGATGTGGTTCTGCATGCTTGTGGACTTGGGAACTCCTCGCCAAAGGGGTTTGTGGGATGCAAAACTTTTGCATGGGTTCAAGGGCAGGCTGGGCATTCATCAGTGGGAAATCCTTTGTGGGTTACTGGATACAGGGGGTCCCTGCGCTGAAAATAATTAGAGAGTGGGAAGGAATACGGGACCTGTTTCGACTTTTCCCTGTGCATCTGCTTGTGGCCCCTGTAAGAGAGAGGACAGTGGATGAGGTGGAGCATTGGTTTGATTCTTCACCAAACATCAGAAAAGCAGCAGGCTTTCATCTACACAGACAACTCAGTGTCTTCTCCGACTCTTAACTCGCTTTATTTTCCTGTAACGTTGAAGCCTGAACATTATATTTAGCCTGACTAGAATTTGGCAAATAACTTTCCTTTTAACATTGGGGGTTTTTTTTGTCTCTTCATTGGATAGTTAGATTGTCTGGGGATTTTATTCAGCAGAATGCATTCCCATAAATATATTTAAAATAGACAGAATCACTGCTTGTATTAAGGCGTCTATTTAGGCTATTTTAATTTAGATCTGAACATGCAAAAAACTGAACAAGGGAGAAGATTGCACGGGGGCTATTCAAACGAGAGGAAGACTAAAACTGCATTGAAAGCTTTTGGATGTGGAAGTACGTGGCATTGTGGACAGTTGCAGTGGAGAATATAATGCAACAATAAAATCATTAAAGTACTTCAAGTTTGGAAGTAATCTGGGTTCTTGGCTTGCATTGCATTTAATAGCTTTACATTTATGGGAGCCATTCCAGTTTTTAAAGGCAGCTCCAGCCTTCAGACTGATTGCACTTACCACCCCAGTGAAACTGCAACCCATTAATTTTTTACCTAAAGGATCTTCCTAGTTTGTCAAACACATCAAGTGAACATTTTAGAGAGTGCAGACCGCAGCAGTATGAAAACCAAAACTTTATATCAAGAGATAATGTTGGATTAGCATGAAATAAGGGTCTGATTCTGTTAATAAGCACTTTAGTAAATTCAAAACCCCATTAAAACCAGAGATCTCGTATATTCGGGTGAAAACAGGCAATACCAGGACTGTCAGAAGTCTCTTGTGCTGTCCCAGCATGGCAGTGGTCCTCTCCGGGATGGAGAGCCGCACGGCAAGCCCAGCCATTGTGTCCTGCCCAGCAAGGAGCATCCCTGTCCCCTCCGTGTTGATATCACCAAGCCCAAAGCTTTCCAGTGTCTAAAACCAAACTCTCGCTCTCTAAAACGTTTGCACATTTCTGTGTTGAACATCTGCTTAGGTGGCTCTGAGACAGTGTGTTTTGGTGTTGTTCGTGTGCAATCTAGTGCCGCTTCCTCAACGCATGTGTCCCTTCCCTTCACAGCCTACTCGACACCCAGCACCTCCCCCGCAAACCGATTCGTCAGTGTTGGACCACGGGATCCAAGCTTTGTAAATATCCCTCAACAGACTCAGGTGGGCCGCTTTCGACTTCTCTGTATGCCTGCAGCCTCTTCTTTTTCAGTGTCCTCTAACGTGTCCCCGCGGAGCCAGCTGCATTGCCGCTGTCACTTCACCCACATGGTCTCAGTAACTACAGTGAAATGTCACTTGCAGTTTTGTTTGTCTGTTGTGTTTTTTTGGGCTTATGTAGTAATAACGCTGCTTTCATAATTGGAAAGATTTCTCTTGCTTTCTAAGATATTGGCTTCAGTGTTTGCCTCTAAGACTGGGTTTTTCAAAGGCTTTTGCTCCAACCTGTTCCCTAGGCAGTGCATTTCATTGCAGATGCAAAAGGAGCTCAGAGAGACCCATCAGGCAGCAGTGCACCTTAGTGACCACCAGATACAACGGGAGACTGCTCCAGTGACTTCCATGTTAAAAAAAAAAAAATAGACTCGAATTCCTGGTTGGCCATTTGCATGGTGGGCTTTGAGTGAGCTGGAGATTTTATAATTGCGAGCACATCTGTTTCCTTACACAAAGAGCAAAAAGTCCAGTTGAGGCAGGCCTATAAAGCTGGGTTAACTGAATTCATAGTCCTGCTATGGTCAAATCAGAAGCTCAAGTAAACATTTGTGTTTCTTTAGGAGAAGGACGAGGTTTAAATGTGCTTTTTCCAAGCTGTATCAAATTCCCAGGGTCGATTAAGAAAATAGTTGTTGGCAGTTTTGTTAGCAGCTAATTTGAGCCAGATGTTGAAAAAATTACGTCTGTGCTTAATATCACGTTATCATGGGGGAGAAGGTATAAAAAAGTGAGCAGAACTAGAGCTCTAGGACAACTGTAGTTTGTAATTTTAAGTGATTGCTTGACTCCATTGCTATTCTTTTAAAGGTCAACAGCAAGAAATATTTGTAATTTTGTTTTGAGCTGGTTGCGATGACTAAAAAGTAATAATTCAAATAACTAGCAAATTGGGGAGTACTACTCTTAGCTCTTGTAAGTTCTTTCAAATCATTTATATTCAACTGAATAATTAGTGTAAAGATGAATGGCTGTCACATGCCACAGTCCAGTATATGCACGAAGACAGACTCCTCGTTGCGATGGCTTCAGCACCTACGCTGTCAATGAAACGCAAGTCACTTATTACCGAAGATTTTCAGTTTACAGGGCTGCAACTAGATGCCTGTGAACCCAATGTGTTGTTTTGCTATCTGTTCTTTGTGTACAATTTGTTAGGGGCTTTAGTTTATAGCTCTGTCGACAGCACAGGTTAAACTGCATCGAATCTCAAACCTTCTCTGCATTAAATAGGGTCACAGAAAGTACACCAGCAATGCAGGGTGGGTTTTTAACCCATCAGGTTCGGATTTTTTTTTCATGCCTTAGCAAAACGCAGCCTGCACCCCACTTTGCAGGCTTCTGCCTTTATTCGATTCATGTACGTGACAAGTTTTCGGGCGCCTTCACATTTAAATCATATTTCTCCAGTTGTTTTGGAAACAACTGGAATACACAGAAATGCACTGAAATGGGGAAACAGGAATGCTAAGGTATACTGCTAAAGTCCTTAAGCGTTTGGTCTGTTCCTTCATAGCTCAGGAAACTTGAAACCCTTTGGAGAACGCTACTTACCTTTTCCAGAAGACTTGAAAAACTACTAGTTGGTAAATTGATTATGTAGTAAGACACAACAGTATTAAGTCTCCAAAATATTTTCAATTTATTTGCATCCTGCAGCCTAGGTTTCCCAGCTAAGTTTGTTGACTGTAAACTTTTATCCTCCTTTATTTATGACTTAAATCATTTTAAAGTGCTCTAGCCTTACTTTAAGTGCTTCTATGTAATGCAGTATAGTGAATAACAATGCTGTACAGTGAAAAACAATACTCGAGCACAGCTTTCAATTAAAGTCAAACATGCTGCCGTGGGTAAGGAGACTGACTTCCAGTCTCCAACTCCAGCTGCATCTCTGTGCTTCTATACATCATTACACCACCACAACCCACCGATACTAAATATATAATTTATCAGCAAAACTCACTACTTATTCATGAAACAACTCTGAAGTTGCCTGTGTTTTAAATCAGAGAAGTGAGGTAAAAATACTAGCTGCAATGATTTGGGGTTTACTTAGCGTTCCTCTAAACAAAGACAGGCTTTTGTACTCTTTTTGCAGAGCATTAGTGTACAGGATGATCACTTAGGATATTTTCAAAATGAAAATATAAAAACACATTGGGCTGTGTTATTAAAAGCAGCTGGGGTGGCTGCTTTCCATCAAGATTTTTATAGTACTTTCAGAGTCAGCCTAAGATATGGGTCCTGAGGACCACTAACTGCCAGGCCACACAGCTTCCTTCCACAGGAGGAAGCAGCCAACACTCAGAGCTTCTGAAAGTCAAGCTTAAATGTAAGGGTTAAGCAACTCTTTACTGCTGGAACAACAAAATAAAAATGAAGATTGTATCCGAACATCTGCTTTTTTTAAATTACGGTCCAGCTACAAGGTATAAGAAGCCATTATGGTCGACTTTTTGGTGGGTCTGATTTTCTCTTCCAATTGGTGGGTCTCCTACAGACATCATCATTATTACTCTTAAAGTGCTGCAAAAGTGAGTCCGTGCCCAGGGATGTGACAGCGCCGTTCAGCAGAAGTCACATTTCCCATACATGGGCATTCACAGGCTTTCACAGAACATGGGAATAAAATCGCAGACAAATGTACAACAGCATGGCTGGGTTTGAGCAAGGATCGTTCTGTCCTGGGCTGTTTTTAAACAACCCAAACCAGTACATGCCTTTCTTAATGGGCATTATAAAAATTAGCAGTAGACGTTGCCATCAGCAGCATGTTCCGATTTATGTTATGTTGCTTCAAATATAAACCCTAAAGGAATTTTATAGTATTTATGTAATATTTTATTTAGAAAAAGGCCATCTTCCTGTGTCAACAAAGGTTGTAGCGAGACGACAGCTCCGTAACAGAAGAGACCAGGAAATAAAGTGATTTCAATCAGTCGTTCTGATTCAGTAACAAAAGCCCCAAAAGGGCTGTTGGCTTTGGTTTTAGCACCTTTAAAACTTTTCAGCTGGTTTTTTTTTGCAGACACTGCCTCCGCTCACCCCATCCATCACTCTGCCACTCCAGCAGCTCACCACATAATTGTCCTATCTGGGGGGTTATTTGAATCTAAATTTCTGTTTGAGCTATTAGAAGAAACACTTGACTTGGCATCCTCTGTATATGTTGACAAAAAGGCACAGGTGTTGTAACCTTTGCTTGATAAATCATTTACTTTTGCTACTTGACTTGCAAGCAATACGGGGCCATCGGCTTTTTAACTGCCTTTTCCATATGCAAATCAGAAATACGGTACGCCCGGGGTACGCAGGCTTTAGTTTCAGAAGCGAGCTGGGCTGGATACCTCATGACTCAGTAACAGATCCGCCTCTCGTATTGCCAAGGACTTGTAATAAGGAGAGTGGTAGAGGAATGGGAAATTACCATCACATTAATTAGGGACTAGCCTATCAGTAGCAATGGCACTAATAAAGGATAAAGGGTTCTGAGGTTTGGGTTTTTGTTCTTAACCGAGTGATAGAAGTAATTGTGAAACACAGGATGTGTGCTCAGAGGACGTGCAGCTGGTAACACTAAACTAGCAACCTGCTCTTTGTGCCCGGAGTTTGCGTTGTCGCTCGCCGCCCTAAGCGGTGTTTGCTGATCTAATGCCCTCACTTTGCTCTATATACGAAATTCCTTCAGGGTTCCTAAGCATTCAGTGTGCTGAGCTCCACCTAGACTAGACCAAGTCCTGCTTGCCACCTAATCACCCAACATCTTCCTGGAAATTGTACTTCGATGCTTAAAAACAGCTCCTGAGCAACAGACGCCTGCTCCCTCCCATCACTGCTACCTGCCGTCAGCCCGTGTGCCTTACGCAGTCAGGTTCCCCCGATGCACGGGACAGCAACGGCCGCCCACTGCGGGCACCTAGGCAGGGGATCAACTGCTTTCCCACCTCGGAGAAACTCAATGGTTTTCTTCTCTGCTTAAGAGAGAAAGTGTATCGTGCACCTTCTTGTCCAGCAGTTTCAGGAAAATCCCTCTCTAATCTAAACCTGCTTTATATCAGATCCATCCCAGTTAGTTTATAAAACTTTGTTAAGCACAAAACCAAATATTAATTCCCTTACCTTTCTCTAGGAAAAAATAAAACTATTTTCTAGAAGAACAGAAGTTCTTCCTGCTTCTGCCTTTGCACTATCCCAAAGTTAGGCTCAGCTCCTGGGTAGCAAGCCAAGGTCTTGTCTTTTCACGCTTTCCCTGGTGCGCCGCCGTGCTATAGATAGATAGAGCTCATCCTTTGCAACGCAAAGCTATCGAAACAAGAGGCTTGTAGTTTACCTAACACACCCCAACAAAGCGTAAGAAAAACTCCAAAAGTCGAACAAGCTTCTCTAGGCAGTCAAATGAGCTGTATGAACACCAGCAAGCCCCGAAGCACAGCCATGCTCTTGCTGCCAGCCCTATAAAGACCAGGTAGAAAAACACACGCTGTGAAACGCATCTCTCCAAGGGCAGTGCTGCCCTGGAGTAAGTTTGGGGTGGGGGGAATCACTGAAGTTTAGCTAAATGTTGTTAGTATAAGGAAATAGCTAACTTCTCTAGATCTGCTCCTGTTCTCTGCCTTTCCTGAATTAGATAGTGGTATCTTTGTAGCTTCTTCTTTTAGGCTTTTATTTATCTCTAAAAAACCACCTTATGCCTCAGGTGCTTATACAAACCTAATTGTACAATTATTTTCTTTTCAAGAGATGAGGGAAAGACTTCTTTTACTTCCCCACAATCCTTTTAGAAAGCAAACTGCAACCTGCAATTTTTTCACTGGCAGCCCTTTAAAACAAAGGGCATGAGGGAAAAAAAAAATGAGCTTTATGCTGTGTCCTGTAGGTTAGCAGATGTGAGCTCTGTCAGACGAGGGAGGGAGGCAAATTCCAGAGTAGATGGTCCTTCTGTGATAACA